CCCTGTACTATGTTCTTCAATTCAGAAATTATATTCTTCATTTCCTCTTGTCTCTTAATGATAGTTTCTATGTCCTTTCTCATGCTGATATAGTGTGCAGTAAGTTCCTCGTAGTATCCCTGTAGTTTTTGGTAATGCTCTTTGAGCTCACTGAGCTCATTGAGCTTCCTTAGAACTGTTGTTTTGAACTCAATATCTGATAGTTGACTTTCCTGTATTTCATTTAGTTGTCTTTCTTGGGATCCCTCCTTTCCCTTTGATCAGGGGGGGCAAAAAAAATTCCCTTTGTCTTCCCATTATTTGTGAGACTTCTTTTTTGCTTCTGCTTCTTAAATTTATCTGTCTTGATTTCCTGACTTTGTGGTGTGAACTTCTATGGTAGAAGACCGCTGTTTTTAATTTTTTCTTTCTGGATCTGCCTCTGATGATGTCAGATGTTCACCCCGTCTGACCTTAGGCAGTCTCTTGGAGGCTTCCAGGAATCTGCTGTCTGTAGCTCTCACCTTCAGCTGTTAATCTACTTACTCTGCATTCAGCAGGCTGACTTAGAGACACCACAGGGTGGGGCAGAGTCCCTCCTGGGGGCAGGGTTATTGGGTCTTCTCACCCTGCTGCCACTCGGGCATGGTCCGCCTGAGCCAGAAGGCTGCTGCTATATGGAGGAGGAGTCAGTGCGGGAATCCGTCTGGCTACTCTCTCATTTCTCTCCCCAAAGCCTTCATCTCCAGTCTCTCCTCAAGTGTCTCTAGCCCACTCTGCACCACCTTTAGCTAGGGATCTACTATCTGTGGCTGCCACAGTGTACTCAGCCTTTAGGTTTTATCACTACCAGTCCTAGGCAGAGCCTCCTAGGGGAAGGGCTGTTGGGTCCTCTCATGCTGTTTCCACTCAGGCACATTGTCTGACTGAGCAAGATGGTTGCTGCTGCATCAGGGATGAGTCAGCACCTGGATTCTGCCAGCTACTCTCTTATTTCTCTCCCCAAAGCCTCCTTCCCCAGTCTCTCCTCCGGCATCTCCAGCCCACTCTGCCCTTGCCTTTGCTGTAGCCCAGGGTAAGTGCCAGTTAAGTTGTGCTAAAGCTAATTCCTCTGTCTGTCCAAGGTTAAAAGACTTCTCTCTCGCTACTGTTCAGTTGTTCCTTGCAGGTGATTTCTCCACAATTTGTTGTAATTCCAGGTTGGTCCTGGGAGGGGTCAGTGTGATTTCCAGTCATTCCTCTGCCATCTTCATTCTAGTTTATGCTCACATTACTTGGAATTCATAATTTTTATTCCCTGCAGAGTCAACTAGTATACTATACTATTATTACAGTTCCTTTTTCTTTCTTTTCTAAAGTTAATACTTGTTTTTTAAAATGTTTTATATAGGGGGGTTAATTCCATATCGTTTTATAGGGTTTTGAATAATTTGGTTAATTATTCTTTATGTGTCAGCTACTGACTCAATTTAATTTTCTGTTTTATTCACTTCTTTGCTCACTGTATTTCTTGTATCGTGAAGTAATTTAAAAAAATTTTTTTTTGCTATAGTACATTTCTGAGTAATTACTTCAATAATTGTTTAGAGTCTTTCTTGTCTGCAAAACTGTCTATTTATTCCTACTACTGAAATGGTTGATTGGTTAGATATAGAATAGAATATTCATTTCGCAATCACTTCAGTTGAAAATTAGGAGATACATTTATCTGTAGGTGTCTAGTATTGCTGATTAGTAATTCAATGTCATTATAATTCTCATTTATTTGCACATAACCTAGCTTTTCTGTCTATATACTTTCAGCATTTACTGGGATTTATTTTTAGCCTAAAGTCTTGAGGTTTCTTGTTTTGTTTTTTTTTTTTCTTTTTTACTATTCAAATACACTTGTCTCCACCTTCCTGCCACCAATTTTCCCAGCCCCTGCTCCCGGCCCCCCAAACTTTTTCCAACATTGGCTTTCTCCATGGATCCTTCATACCTCTTCCTTGACTTGACCCTTCCCTCCTCCTGCCCCCCGCCTTCCCTCTTGATTCTGTTATTTTCTTTTTTCTTTCAGTGTTGCTGGTTATATTCTCTTTGCTTGTTTGTTTTGTTGATTAGGACCCACTTACAGGTGAGATCATAAGGTATTTCTCTTTTGCCCCCTGGCTTATTTCACTTAGCATAATACTCTCCAGTTCCATCCATGCTGTTGCGAAACGTAGTAGCTCTTTCTTTCTCTCTGCTGCATAGTATTCCATTGTGTAAATGTACCATAGTTTTTTGATCCACTCATTTACTTATGGGCACATAGGTTGCTTCCAGCATTTGGCTATTGTAAATTGTGCTATGAACATTGGGGTGCATAGGTTGAGTTGATGTTTTGGGATTCTTAGGCTATAATCGCAGCAGCGGAATCTCTGAGTCAAAAGGCAGTTCCCTTTTTAGCTTTTTGAGGAAATTCCAGTTTTCCAGAGTGGCTGTACCAGTCTGCATTCCCACCAATAGTGTTCTAGGTTTCCCTTTTCTACACAGCCTCACCAGCACCATTGTTTGTTGATCTGTTTATGTCCGCCATTCTGACCAGTGTGAATGGTATCTCATTGCGCTTTTAATTTGCATTTCTCTGATGGCTAGTGGTGTTCCGCATCCTTTCATGTGTCTCTGGGCTTTCTGTCTCTCTTCCTTGGAGAAGTGTCTGCCCAGGGCCTTTGCCCATTTTTTAATAGGATTGTTTGTCCTCTTGCAGTGGAGTCATGTGGCTTCTTTATATATTTTGGAGATCAAACCTCTATCTGATTCATTGTTGGCAAATATCTGTTCCCATATGGTTGGTTCCCTTTTCATTTTGATGATGTTTTCTTTAGCATGCAGAAGCTTCTTATTTTGATAAGGTCCCACTTGTTTATTCTTTCTTTAAGTCCCTTGCTTTAGGGAACATTTTGGTGAAAATATTGCTGCGTGAGATATCCGAGAATTTCCTGCTTGTGTTCTCCTCCAGGACTTTTATGGTGTTGCGACTTATAGTTAAGTCTTTTATACATCTTGAGTTTAAATTTGTGTATGGTGTCAGTTGGTGTTCGAATTTCGAATTTTTACATGTAACTGTCCACCTCTCCCAACTCCATATGTTGAAGCAGCTATTTTTACTCCCATTAATGCTTCTGCCCCCTTTGTCAAATATTTATTGATCATAGAGACTTGGGTTTATTTCTGAGCTTTGCATTCTGTTCCACTGATCTAGTGTCTGTTCTTGTGCCAGTACCAGACTGTTTTGATTACAGTGGCTTTGTAATACAGTTTGATATCTGGTATAGTGATCCCTCCTGCTTTGTTTTTCTTTCTCAAAATTGCTGCAGCTATTTGGGGTCACCTGTGATTCCACATAAATTTTTGAAATCTCTCTTCTATTTCTGTGAAATACGTCATTTGTATTTTAATAGGGATTGCATTGAATCTGTAAATTGCTTTGGGTAGTATGGACCTTTTAATGATGTTAATTCTTCTAATCCATGAACATGGTACATGCTTCCATTTATTTGTGTCTTCCTTAATTTCTTTCTTCCGTGTTGTATAGTTTTATATGTACAGTTCTTTTACCTCCTTGTTATATTTATTCCTACATACTTTATTTTTCTTGTTGCTATACTAAAGGGGATTTTTTCCTGATTTCTGATGCTGATATATCATTGTTGGTGTACAAAAATGCCTTTGATTTCTGAATATTGACTTTGTATCCTGAATATTGGCTGTTTTGGCAAATTCACTTATTAGATCGAGTAGTATTTTGGTGGAGTCTATAGGGTTTTCTATGTACACTATCATGTCATCTGCAGACAATGATAGTTTTACTTCCTCCTTGCCAATTTGGATCCCTTTTATTTCTTTTTCTTGTCTGACCGCTGTGACTAGGACTTCCAATACTATGTTGACTAGAAGTGGTGAAAGTGGACATCCTTGTCTTGTTCCCAGTCTCAGTGGGAAAGCTTTTTATGTTTGCCAGTTGAGTATGATGTTGGGTGTAGGTTTTTCATATATGGCCATTATTATGTTGAGGTGTGCCCCCTTTATTCCCATTTTGCTGAGTGTTTTTTAATAAGTGGGTGCTGTACATTATCAAATGCTTTTTCCACATCTATTGAGATGATCATGTGGTTTTTGTCTTTCCTTTTGTTTATGTGATGTATTACATTTATTGATTGGCGAGTATTGAACCATCCGTTCATCCCTGGGATGAATCCCACTTGATCATTGTGGATAATCCTTTTAATGTATTGCTGGATGCAGTGTGCCAATATTTTGTTGAGGATTTTAGCATCTGTGTTCATTAGTGATATTGTCCCATAGTTCGAAGTCCTGTGGTTTCATAATTACATTTTTAGCATTCATTGGGCCCTGAATATTGAGTTCTAAGAAATGTTGTGTTTGTGGAATTTGTTTGGGTTTTTTTTTTTTTTTCTATTATTTCATGACTGTTTCTTTCCCTTCATTCTGTCTTGACTATATTCATAGAACTCTGCAAAGATTTGGCTTTACTTTTATCTTTCCATCTCTCTGTCATTTTATTCTGCATTATAGGAGAACCCCTTTCAATCTTCCATCTTAGCCATAATGTTCATTTTTCTATTTAGCCCTTCTGGATTGCAGGCCTTAGAATCAGACTGCCTGACACTTAGTTACTTAACCATTAGAACCTTGGTTTCCTTGTGTGTACAACGGATGTTTTGCGAGCCCCTCTCATATAAGATTGTGCAACTCCTGCCTGAGTGCTTCAAACAGGTACAATAGATCTTGATTATTACAATTATCATGTTTTTCAATCCTTTGATTAATTTAGAAGAATACTGATTATTTTTCATAGCAACATGTTTGTCTTATGTTGTTTTCCAGATGTTATATCCTCTCAGATTTCTCTAAATACGTACCTTTTAAATTGTTTCCTCTGTTCAGTATTTCTTAAGTTTATGCCACTCTTTATGAAAATTAGATTCTACTTTTCTGTCTGCTTACATTTTTTATTGTCTCATATTTTTTCCCAGGTCTTATATTCACCATATTATACTGGTGTGTACATCCTCAGCTGACACCCAGCCCTCTTTGGTGCATGCATGTTCTACTTATAAGAGACACCTCTAATGACTGTGCTTGGGATGGATATAATAAGAATCCAGATGGTCGATGGCGTCGACTCTTTTATTGTGGCTGCCTTTTCAGACAGGTAAGTTATCTGGGGCGTACCATACTTAGATCTCCAGCTCTGTTATATCTCCCTTGTCAAAAATCTCACTCCAGGAGTTATCTTGAGGCTTTGTCCTGGGCACATATGGAGTCAATTGCTTCTTTTTGTAACTTAATCAACCCTGTCATTGTGCAGGTCCAGCATTACCTCAACTTCTGCTTCTCTTTTCACTCCAGTAGTATTAGGAGTCTTTCTTTAACAGATTCTTTTGCTCATCAGATTTTGTGTGAGGCTACTTCTGTTAACTAACCAATATTTCTTTTTTTTGTTGGGAAGAGAGTGACTGGGAAAGTGGTGCTGCTAATGGCAACCACTAGTGCAGCGATCAGAAAGGACTAGCATAAATTAATAAAACTGAACTTCCAGGATAAACCTCTCTTACTTTAAAATCTTGATTCTGAGTTTGGAATTGAATTTTTTGAATTTCTAGGACTTCTTGAGAAGATCTTTTGCTCCTCCAGAAGTCTTCCTGTACATGATTTGAGCTGTGCAGTTCTTTTTTTCTAGTTTCTCTGTCATTTCTAATCCATCTGTTCTTTATCATCTAGGAGTTCCTTGACATTTTTATTCTGGTGATGACAACCCTTCTTTTTTCCCAAGACTTTTAGATTTCTTTTTTATCATTTCAGTATAATATTAGGATATTCACTCTAATTGTTTTGACCAACGAGTATAAATCCTAGTAAGTCTAAAATCTATATTTTTAACACAACTCTTCCAGAAATTCGAGACCCATAGGTATCACTGCTTACTGAACAGTGTAAGATTCCACCAGCACCACAAATTAAACATTATGAGTTTCTCATCTGTCCTTATTCTTCACCAGCCTTTTCCTTGTGCATTCTGTGTTTTATGACATAATACCCCAAAACCTCATCACTAAAGCAAGGAACTGGAAATTGTGCTTGGTGCTTCCTTTCCTTTCTTCATTTAGTCACTACACCATTTAAAATGTCTCTCCCACTCTCCCCATACCCATCACCCTTACCACTTTTCTTCTAATTTCCTCAGCAGTTGTCTACCTAACGTCTTGCTCATTTTCAGTGAGCAAGTCAAGTGTTTCATCCCCAATTGAAGTCCTCCAAGAACTTTAAACCCCCCAGGGATTTTAGCCCTAAATCCTTAGTAGTACACACCAAGACCTTTGTTTTGGCTCCTGCCTTTCTCTTCAGGGCACACTTTTTACCTCCGTCACCTACTTTATCTCCTTCACAAGAGACTGTTTATAGTTTTCTTGAACATGTCATACTTTCACTTTTTTGTTTTCCTTACACATCCCCCCAGATTTGTGCCAAATGCCCTTACTCTGTGCTGTCATGCGTAGTTGCTCCTGCATCTTCTTTAGCACTCGTTGCACTGCACAGCAGCCAAAGGGGCACGCCACTGTGAGGGAGCACCACAGAGAGTGTAGCACTCCCTGAACCTGAGGGAAACTGACTGGGGCCAGCTGAGGTGGGAGAAGGGCTCTGAAACCCACAGAGCCCTCCCCGGGGTTGTCACGGATAAGAGGGACAAACACAAAACATCGCAAACACTTCTCTGTTTGCTGGAACAGCAGACGGGGGCACTTCCCTCTTACTGGAGAAGGCTGCGGCACATCCCTCTAGTGGGGAAGGCACCATTGTCCTTTGTTCCAAGGCTTGTGTTGAAAATCTTGTCAGTGGGGCTAGGTAACAGGAATGCATACGTTATCTCATTACATCAGTATGGTAAGTTTCACAGTGAATATATGATGTTTTTAAGAAGACAAGTGACAGAAGCACACTGATTTATATGGGTCCGAGAGGAGACTAGAATCAACAATAGAGACTACAGATAAGAGGACAGTAGACTTAAAGGCACCTTAAAGATATAGGGTAAAAGGTGTAAATAAAGTAAATGTCTTAACAAGGTAAGGGGTGTAAATAAAGGTCCTTCGCAGCATGAGCTGACCGGAGATCTGAGGGAGAAACAGAGCACACTCTAAAGAATTTACTTTTAGGCCTGATTACCCCAGGACCTGCCAGATCTGATTTAGAGGCTGTTTTTCCTGCACTGTTTCAAGCCTGAGCCAGGTGGGGGGAGAGAGCCACTAAGGGATAAGGAGACTGCTTCTCTGCTGCAGTGAGGACTCCGGCCATGTACAAGCTGAGCCAAGAGGTGCAGGGGCCTTTTTGCTCCTTCTCCATGTCCCCCAATTTCTTGTCTGCTGCCAATACCGGCCAATAACTGTCTTAGGTTGTTTACCGCAGCACGAGGTAACTTACCCATCATTGGCTATTGGCCCTCAGTGGCAAAGCCGAGAGGCAGGGGCTACACCTCGTCCATGGAGGGACAGGCCAAGTCTCCTCAGGAGCCTGCTTTCCCAAGGCCTCCTGAATATTTCCCACCTTGGGGACCTCCAGCCTGTCGGCAGGGTTACAACTCCTGAAACCAGGCTGGGTGTTTCCCAACAAGCACTGGTACGGTGTTATCATTTTTAATACATTTGTCTTTCTTCCCACTAGGCTCTAGCTTGATAAGTAAAAATATTGTTTTATTTCTTTTATCCCCAGTATCTATTAAAGTGAATTGCCAATTAAATGCAAAATTCCTTAAAATGAATGAAGTGAAAAAAAATGTAATTTGTAGCAAGGATGTGAAATACATAGCCTTCTGCAGAATTAGGGAAGGTATACTTTTATTGACAATGCTTAAAAGCAGAGAAAATACTTCTGTCTTGTGTAAAGCCTTCTCTTTGACATTAAACTGAAGAACATGACTGTTAGGACAGAACTGAACTTTTTCCAAATTACTAAGTCTTCATGGCTTAGACACTCCTGTTCTGAAATCTTGAAATCTATCATTTGTTTGTTTCTGTCACTGAATTTTCTTTGTTTTGTAGGAAACTTGAATGAAAATTCTGTAGAGACTCCAAGAAAAAGGACTTTGGGATCTATTACATAAAGACCATTCCTGATGGCTGATTTGAAGGGATGCCAGTACAATAAGTGCAGAGTCTTCAGGAGGTGTACAGGAACCCTGAACTAGATCTTTCCCCTTGTCAAAATGGGGAGAAGCATCTTCTCACGTTTCCAGAAATAAGAGTAGTGTTGTGACCCTTCAAAGTGATGATTTCAAAAACATGGAAAGTGAAGAATATTTTTCTTTGAAAGTTCCAAGCGAAATGGCCACACAGGACTCCTCAGTAACATTTTGTAAGAATGAGCCCCAGGATCCTAAGAAAAGCAAAAGTCTCTTTGTAAATGGAAGAAACACTAAGAGAAAAGTGTTAAGAGGGAAAAGCCCCCTTCCCATAAACAATTGTTCAGAGACCCTTCATATTAAATTTGTGTCTAATGTAATAGAACTGGCCTCACCATTGTTCAGTGGGGAAGTAATTTGCCAGAATAGCCTTTTAAAAGAATCCTTGGATCCCTTAGACAGTAACTGTAACAACATTTGTGGTTGGGAATCCAGAGTGGTCAGTCATCAGAGAGCTCATGCAGAGGAGCATCCCTGTAACCATTATGACTCCGGCAAAATACCTAAAATCAGCTTAAAGAGTCCTCCATGTGAGAATATCCACATTGCAGAGAAACAATACCAATGCAGTTGGTGTGGTAAGGACTTCAGTGAGAGCTCAGAACTACTACTACATCAGAGAAACCACACAGAAGAAAAGCTGTACAAGTGTGAGCAGTGTGGGAAGGGCTTTGCAAGGAGCTCGAGCCTCCTTATCCATCAAGCAATCCACACTGATGAGAAACCTTATAAGTGTGACAAGTGTGGGAAGGGCTTCACAAGGAGTTCAAGTCTGCTCATTCATCACGCAGTCCATACAGGCGAGAAACCTTATAAATGTGACAAGTGTGGGAAGGGCTTTAGTCAGGGCTCCAAACTGCATATCCACCAGCGAGTACACACAGGTGAGAAGCCCTATGAGTGTGGGGAGTGTGGAATGAGCTTCAGTCAGCGCTCTAACCTGCACATCCACCAGCGAGTCCACACAGGAGAGAGGCCCTACAAATGTGGAGAGTGTGGGAAGGGCTTTAGTCAAAGTTCAAACCTTCATATTCATCGGTGCATACACACGGGGGAAAAACCTTACCAATGCTATGAGTGTGGGAAGGGCTTCAGCCAAAGCTCAGATCTCCGCATCCATCTCAGAGTCCACACTGGGGAGAAGCCCTATCACTGTGGCAAGTGTGGGAAGGGATTTAGCCAGAGCTCCAAACTCCTCATCCACCAGAGAGTACATACTGGAGAAAAGCCGTATGAGTGCAGCAAGTGTGGGAAGGGCTTCAGTCAGAGCTCCAACCTCCACATCCACCAGCGGGTTCACAGGAAAGATCCCTGTTAAAGAGCTCTTTGATTACATTCTTGTACTCTAAAGACTTAAGTATTTTTAACATCACTCTTCCCTCTATATTCAATGAAGGAGAGAGACAATGAGTTATTAAGCTAGGTTCCCTCACTGAAAATCATTCATTCATTTAAAGTATTTAAGTGCCAAAAACTTTTGTTATGCTATACAATGAACTGCTTGTTCTAGTTCCTTAGATGGGTAGAGCGAAAACATCTGCACTCTGTAGTTCAGCCAGTGTTAGAACTATATTCCCTACCCAGCATTTATAAAGCTAGAACTTTACATTTATCTAAGCACAGCATGTTTCCTTTGTTTACAGTCTCTGAGAAAATGGAACACTGATTTACCTTCAAAACATCTACCTAGTGTTTTTCACATTTCTTTCCAGCCCTGAGTACCCCTGAGTAACCTATAATTGTATAATATGTTGGTTTTAAGCCAAGGGGTAGTTGGAGATAAAATGGGCATAGAAATTTTTTGTGTTTATTGCAAAAACATACAACAATCTGACAAGAAGCTGGAGGAGAGCTACTTGTGTAATACACCCCATGTACCATTTTACAGGATCTTGAACCCTCCTCCCCTCAAAACAGCAGCTCAGGAACAAAAGTACTGCAGTTCTTTTTCATGGATGCAGCTAGTCCATTGGGGTTCTTCCAGATCTCACCACTTTACATGATTCCCCCAAAATAAAGCCAAGTAGGTTACATACACCATGTTGAAACATGTCAAATGAAGTTGAAATGTATTTAAATGAATTCAGTTCTCTCAACACTTCTTTCTCATTTCCTTTATTTTCTTGACCACCCATGTTCTATACTAAGCAAAACAAAGGAGACAGGAGAGAAAGTTTCTGATACTTGTGCCTTCAGGCTTATCATTTTTAATTTGATTTATCCCCCAAAAGGGTATCTGTTTTTACAGCATCTCCAGACTTTTTAGACCTCGTTAGAGACATCCAACTCATATTTATAACATTTTTATATTTTGCTAAAAAATACTTCATATAAAAATAGCTATATAAAACATGTAAACCATTTTTGGAAAGCATGTTTGAAAAGATACGGCCTAAAATATGCATTACATATAATTCACTTTTGTGGGTGGGATTGGTTGTGGAGCTAGGACACCTGAAAAGAGGCAGGAGTTAATACAAGAAGCTCATGCAACAGTTGAATGTAGAAAAGGGATTTTTAATAACTAAGAAGTTACCATACAATGAGCTCTTAATTGCAGCTCTGAATTTCTGAAGGATTGTTAATGATTCCTCAAGCATTGCTCAGGGAGCTGCCCAGTATTCCTCAGCTGTTTTTCTGCAATGACTCATATCCATATGTAAAAAAAAAATCAGTAGGGGAAATATATTAACCTGAGAGTTGTAACTGATAAAGCCAAAGGTAACAGTTAACTGGACATAGATAACAGGGAAGGTATACATTAATTTAGGGCAAACATAGCTAACATTATAAGGAATGAAGGAGAGTGACAGATTACATTTTTCCCCTCTTCAAGAGATAGCCCAGAATATTTGATTCCAACCCAGAGCAGTCAATATGCAATGATTTTGACTGAGCTTTTATACCCAAACTGTCAAATAGGTTTTAACCTTTTCTTCCAGATTTCCTTTTATACATACCTTAAGTAATCGGTGTTTTAAACTATATTTAGTTTTCACTCCTCTTTTAAGCATTACCTTAATACAGCTGAAATGTGGTCAGAGTCCTCGGGGAGCACATCACCGATTATGGAAAGGAAGTTTGGGGAAACGCGTATTTTAGAAAAAGAGGGACTCATGCATGAAAATGCAGAAAGAACAATGGGATGTCACATTTCATCATGTTAAGATGACCTGGATTGGGGGCGGGGGGATGGGGATGAAGAGACATTTCTGGTTGCTTTTTGACGTATCTCAATTTCAGACGTGAAAATGAAAAAAAAAAATATATTAGGATTGCAGAAAAGTCATTCCTTCTCAAGAGTTCAGGGATTGTTCTAGGCTGCTTTTCTTTTTTTTTTTTTTTTTGCCTTTTTTTGGTTTGGTTTGGTTTGGTTTTTTGTTGCCCTAGGCTTGATGCTTTGCCAGTAGTAGTTGATTTTGAACAAGGACATTTGGGTAGGCTTGGTAATCATAGTCAATTGATAATTCTATCACTAGCAAAAGATCTAGTTTACAGATTATTATTTGTTGAGTACTGGAGACAAGCTTTTACAATTCTTGAAATTCTTATCTATTCAGTGGTGGTATTTGCTTTCTATATAGGTGGTTTAGTATCTTCAGGTAAAAATACTAGTGAATTTATCATCACTACATGTAGTCACAGTTCCAAATTAGAATCTTTAATTCTTCCTTTCCCATGACTCACACTGACAACCAAAAACATAGAAATTCACTCTTGCAGCTCTCATCCTTACTGTACTTTCATTTGTGAGAAAGGTTCATAATAGCATGGAGTGCAAGGCTGGACCCTAGGTAATGAAAGCAAGGGGAAGTCCAAAGAAACATGTTGCTAGAGTGAAACTGGTCTTGGGTTGGTATCTGAGAGCAGGTGATATCGAGTAGGTATAAGACGTTGAACTGGGAAAAGCTAGTACAAAGGAAGCATGTGGCAGCTGATAAGCTACAGAAATGTCAGGGTTTGGTCAATTAAGAAAAATGGCTGGCAGACTAGGAAAAGTGCTTCTGTTAAATACGTCTGATCCCCTTGGACAGCAGTTTATATGCTAGAAAATAATTTGTTTTATTTATAAAACCACAGCAATAAAAACAGGAGAAAGACCAGCAAACAAGATCTCAACAAAAAATTTTAAAGTAGCAAGGAGGAAAGCTATTATTGCAGAGCAGAAGCAGGCACCACTTATATTGCGTGCATATGATGGTAAGGATTAGAAGGAACCAGTTTGGCTGCAGTCTCAGAAATGCCTAATAGGAGTGGAATACACAGAGGGAATGGCCAGTTGTATATGGAACATTTCTTCTCATGCCATACACACATTTCCTCTTCCCCCTATTCCTGTGCACTGTCGACCAGGGATTTACCCTCCAGCAAGAGATGGGGAGTTTATTCTCTTCAGAAATTGGCCCCAAGGGAGAGACTTGTATCTTGGCATTTGGGAATCCAAAGCAAAACTATCTTCTAACTCCAATACACTTTGAGATGCAAAATTCATAAAATAAAAATGGGTAAAATTGAAATGATTATAGGCAAGTTTTCAATTAGGTATTTCAATACATAAGTTATCCATACCATTAATGGATAGAAAATAAGATATAAAAGACTCAATTAACTTGACTAATTGGTGTTTGGAACACCACCCGACAACAGCATAATCTCCAAGTTCACATTTTTGGGCTATAAAACAAGTTTCAGAAGACTTAAAAGAGTGGAAATCATATAAGGTATGTTCTATTGCCAAAACAGAATTAAGTTAGAAATCAGTAACACTTGAACAATCCCCAAATATTTGGAAATTAAACAGCACACTCCTAAATGAACCATGGGTTAAAGAGGAAGTAATGAGAAAAGAATTTGACAATACTTTAAACTGGATGTATATATCAAAATTTATGGATGCAGCTAAAGCAATGTTGAATTCTATTAACTTGATACAAATAAATTCAACAACTTAGGTGAAATTGAAAAAGTCTTTGAAAGGGGACAAAGTGCCAAATTTCACTCAAGTAAACAAAACTTGAACAGCCCTATTTAATGAATTGGTAGCTGACAACCTACACACACACCCTTTCTCTCTCTCTCTCTCTCTCTCTCTCTCTCTCTCTCTCTCTCTCTCTCTCTCTCGACCCAGATGGCACAAGTGAATTATACCAAGCTTTTAAAGGAAATATAATTTTATACAAACTCTTCAAGGAAGAAAAACTTTCCAACACAGTTTATGAGACATTACCCACATATGAAAGCCAGACAAATCTCAAGAAAGGAAAATCATGTCAATATAGCTCATGAACATAAATGGAAAAATTCTTTTTAAAAATAGAAAATTTACACACAGTCTTAGTGCTGATCAGTGTTGGATGTTTTCAGAGCAACTGAACCACAGCCTGTGTGCCTTGCACCATCTCCTGTGAAAAGACTAAACCAGCTGTGTAGGTACGAACCCAGGCCCAGCCCAGCCAGAGAGCTATCTCCCTTTGTCTCATAACCATGTCCACCAACAAGAATGCTAATTCACCAGCTGCCCACCTTAACAGATTTAAGAACAAGGGGAAAAACTACAGAAATGAGGCGTTGCCGAATACAAGTTAATGTGGAGCTGAGAAAAGCTAAAAAGTATGAACAGATGCTGAAAAGGAGAAATGTAAGCTCATTTCCTGATGATGCTACTTGTCCACTACAGGAAAACCACAACAACCAGGGCACTATAAATTGGTCTGTTGAGGACATTGTCAAAGGCATAAATAGCAACAGTTTGGAAAGCCAGCTGCAAGCTACTCAGGCTGCAAAGAAACTGCTTTCTAGGGAAAAACAGCCACCCATAGACAATATAATCCGGGCTGGTTTGATTCCAAAATTTTTGTCCTTGAGCAGAACTGATGGTAGTCTCATTCAGTTTGAATCTGTCTGGGCCCTCACTAACATTGCTTCTGGAACATCAGAACAGACCAAAGCTGTAGTAGATGGAGGTGCTATCCCAGCATTCATTTCTTCTTTTTCATCTCCCCATGTTCATTCACATCAGTGAAGAAGCTGTATGGGCTCTAGGAAACATCGCAGGTGATGGTTCAGTTTTCCAAGACTTGGTTATCAAGTATGGTGCAGTTGATCCACTGTTAGCTCCTCTTTCAGTTCCTGATGTGTCATCTTTAGCATGTGGTTACTTACGTAATCTTACCTGGACACTTTCAAACCTTTGTCGCAACAAGAATCCTGCAGCTCTGTTAGATACTGTTGAGCAGATTCTTCCTACTTTAGTTTGTCTCCTGCATCATGATGACCAAGAGGTATTAGTAGACAGCTGCTGGGCCATCTCCTATCTTACTGATGGTCCAAATGAATGGATTGAAATGGTTGTGAAAACAGGAGTTGTGCCCCAACTTGTGAAACTCCTGGGAGCTACTGAATTGCCAATTGTGACTTCTGCCCCAAGAGCTATAGGAAATGTCACTGGGACAGATGAGCAGACTCAGGTTGTAATAGACATGGGAGCACTTGTCATCTTTCCCAGCCTGTTAATGAACTCTAAGACTGATATTCAGAAGGAAGCTACATGGACAATGTCAAACATCACAGCTGGCCGGCAGGACCAGATACAGCAAGTTGTGAATTACAGATTACTCCCATTCCTCGTTGTTGTTCTGTCTAAGGCAGACTTTAAGACACAAAAGGAAGCTTTATGGGCTGTAACCAACTATACAAGTGGTGGAACAGTTGAACAGATTGTATACCTTGTTCACTGTAGCATAATAGAAGCATTGGTGAACCTCTTAACTGTGAAAGA